TGTATTACGAATTTGAAATAGTAGGCAGCGGCAAATACCAACCGCTTTTTTCTGAAATGTCACTAGTAATTAACCTAAAAATAGAATAATGTCACCAGGAGAAGCATTCGTTTTTAAATTAGGTTTTTTATAAGAAAAATGTTCATTATTGAAGTGAAAAGTATCAAAGAAGGGGGAATAAGGTGTAAAGGTGACCTAGTGAATGAATGCTTGTGTTTTTAAATAGTTTATTTTGTGAAAAAGAAGGCTGAAAAGTTCCCCTTTTCAGAACTTTGAAGGGCCGTAACTTTGTAAATAAGGGAGAGCGCCGCTTTTTTCTTTCGGATTCGTAATCTACGCATCAAAATACGTAAGTACAGTCAAAAATTTTTTCAAAATCGCCGGGTGTCCACATAACGAAAATTTACCGAGACTTTTCTAATACCAATAGTGAAATATTATGCAATTTACAAAAAGTGATTTGTGTTGTATACCTGAGCACCTGACAAATTATGGAATTTCAATCTAATTTCAAGAAACTTGGCAATAAGCGAATGAAAAGGGATAGAAAAAGGTACGGTGATGTTTTTCTGGTTTGGTGAAAAATGCATCAAAAACCACCTTCCTACAAAAACTTGCTCAATCTACAGCAGCAGATTTGGAAATTTTCAATTGCTCTATTATATGTCAGATTTGCATTTGACACCTAAAGATTGGCAAATCCCAATATTTGAAAAATAGATAATTTGGATTTGGAAAAAATGTTCCATATCGAACTTTTCTTGCATAAGAACATTTCCGTTTTTTCTGGTTTTTACGCCCGGAACCAAAAACGAATTTCTGCAACGGTCTCAGTTTCGGCCGAAACTGAAACTTCCTTACAAGGATTATGTTTTGAGGGAAAAATTAAGAAAACGTTATTATATTCAGCCAGGCTTTATTTTTTTATCTTTAAATCACAACGTTATGCATTCTTCAACATTTTTACTCATTGATAATCACCATAACAAACCCTTATTTAAGAAAAGATATTCATTGCATCTTAAAAATATTTAAAATAGGTGAGGTGTTTATTTGAGTAGTTGTAGATCCTTCTTTTGAATATTANCATCTTAAAAATATTTAAAATAGGTGAGGTGTTTATTTGAGTAGGTGTAGATCCTTCTTTTGAATATTATTGATGGTTTTTCAAAAGTATTATACATAAAATTACTTATTTAATTTGTTTCCTAGTATCACAATAGGTACTAGGTAATAAACAAAGTAAATCACAAAATAAGTCTCGAGTCACGACATGATTAGGCATGTGGACGCGGCAAAATGTCTTCGTCGGTTGTATGTAATTCAACGCGCCGAATATGACCGATCACAGTGCGGGAACTCCCGAATGAAGTTTCGGTTTCGGTCGTAGTTTTGGCAGGTTTGCCACCGAAACCCGTTCTTTTGCCGAAACTCTACCGAAACTGAACTTTCGGTCGGACACATGACTAGACCTGACTTTGACCTAACCTAAACTAACCTAATCAGACCTGTCTTGCTCTAAACTGACCTAATCTTACCTGACCTTTTTTTTATGAGAGGGGAAACCGCATGGCACCAGGGCCTTGTTTCAATCAGCCCTGGTAGTGTCGTGCGCTACTACGATTAAAACCCTTTTTCTTCTCCCGTGCCTCCGGGATGACCATGGCGTTGGTATACATCTGTGTCAGGGGCTGTTCTTCCCCTTTGCTCTTCTTATTCATATCCTGCTTTCATTTGTCTCTTATGCGTCTTTTTTTTATTCTTGGGCCTGTCTTTCTCTCTCTTCTCTTTCTTTCGTGGAGAGGACCACCTTTATGTATGCGTGGATTTTTTCCCAGATGTCGTTCGTATGGAGGCGATAGCTGATTATCGAAAAACAGATTTAAACAGTTAATCTTTTGTTTTTCATCATATTTTTTGTTATGTTTTCAGGGTCCATGCGTATTCTTATATCTAGTTCCAGTTCTCTCTCTCTCCCATCTCACACAGTCAAAAACTGCGTGTTTGTGTGAGTCATCTGCTTCACAGTAAGGGCACTTTGGATTTTCGGTCTTCCTTATTCTCACCTTATAGTTCTCGTAAGACCCGTGTCCTGTCAGAAATTGGGCGAGGTAATATTCAGTCTTTCTGTGCCTGCAATGGGTCCAGTTTATTACGTTTTTTATAAGATTTTTTTGTCCATCATCCGTCTGTTTTTATCACTTGAGATGAGTCCCAGTGAAAGGCCCAAATTCTTCTGCACTATGTTACACTATGTAACTCAAAACGCCTACGGATACCACATGGTATCATCAACCTTTGAGACGCCATACTGCACTGCTATTAGAACTCATCAACAACATTATTTCAAAAATGTATTCATTCATTCTTAACCTTCACTACAATATGTACCACGTTTCAAAAAAAATAATATAAGTTAAGAAAATATTACTTACGCCCATCGAGGTTCCATCTTCAAATGGCACACAATGTCATATAATAAAAAAATGTTAATAACACAGTTCAAAACGTCCTATTCCTAGCAAAATCCAATTGCCGACTGCCCACCGAGTAAAAGAAATGCACGTGCGCGATCGTATACAGGGATGGCTAACGACAGCGAGCAGTTGACGAGAGGCTTGTTTTGCGATTCCAAATGGTATCCGTAGGCGCTAATGAGTTAACGTATCTTATACAGAATAAATAACATGATGTTGATGTTGTTTTACTTATGGTTTGGGATCTCGGCAATATCTCTCCGTCCTTCAAAGTCTCATTGATATTCTTCGCAATGACTCTATTTATGTTTTCGTGCAAGCCAATTGAAAGATATCGCGTCTTTCTGCGCATAACGTGTGAACTGAGAGGTCAACTTTTGTATTTGGGTTTTTATCAAAAACAGAATTGACCACTTTATCTAAGAAATCTATCGACCACAGCTCCTTCATCACTTCTGCCAAAGCTCTGATTGAAGCACCCCTCGTACCAGAAGTACTGGTATTGTTATCAGACATGGAGGTGTTCCTTCTCAAATACCTCAACAAACATTTTGTGTTCGATAAACTTTGTTCATAATACACGTGTTGTCGATATTTTCTAATCTTTCAGGGTCAGGAGTTTTACCTAAGCCTTTTTTGAATTCTATATTCTATCTGAACTCGTTTTTATCACTTGAAATGAGTCCCAGTGAAAGGCCCAAATTCTTCTGCTTATAGATATTTTTTTTAAAACGCTCATCTCGATTTGTATTTCGCTCTTCAGTAGATTTAAAATTCTCTTCATCTGTAATGAAAAGAAACGTTAGGTACATTCACTTCAAAAACTAACAAAATCTCCAAGAAAATATTTACTTGTATAGGTATAATCACTTGAAAAATTGTGTGGGACTTCATACATGAAGGATCGAATCGATTCTATTCTTCCATAGCAATGAATCTAGATTTCTTATTATTCGAAAGTTTGCATGGCCTCAACTTATTTTGTACATTATCTTTGAATAAACTACTCATATCATGGATAACATGCAATCCTCCATTTTAATTGAGAATTCACAGTTTTGAATATGGTTTTCTACATTTTCTCAAATTCCTAAAACAAACCGGTAGTTGCTGTACAGCTCCTTCATCGCTTCTACCACAGCTGTGATTGAAGCATCCCTCGTACCAGAAGTACTGGTATTGTTATCAGACACGTAGGTGTTCCTTCTCAAATACCTCAACAAACATTTTGTGTTCGATAAACATTGTTCCTCATACACGTGTTTCGATATTTTCTAATCTTTCAGGCCTGAGCTTTGTTTGAATTCCATATTCTATCTGTGTAGCATTTGAATTTAAAATAACCTAAAAATGAAATGTATTTGTTTCCTTTTCTTTATATGTGAACTATTCGTTACCATGAGATTAAATTCAACAGCATAAAATGAACAGCTGAATTGATAGTGTCACTATGTTTACCTTGATGAACCTACTTCCCAGTAGTGCAGTGTTGTGATAACCTAAAATAAGACCAAAATTCATTTATCAATTCTTCAACTGAATGATATACTAGAGCTTACCAGTTGTCTCCTGGAATTACACATAAATGTAGCTTTTTGTATCACATATGCAGAGTATAAACCATTTTCTGTTATGAAAAGAAATAGTTTTATAAATCAATCGTAATTACCTTCATTTGATGAATTAGTTTAGTGCTATACTATCTCACTCACCTGATGTATTATGCCATGTATATAATTGTTTATTTCTTTGTATTGTTGTGATAATCATAACATGATGTACATAATCACCCTGAAAAATTTCCAACTTCATACTGAAATGAATACTTACTTATGATTTGTATATATTGTGTATATAAGCACTACACTTAAGGTACAGTTACACATGCTAGTTAGTAGCATGCTTTTTAGTATACTCATTGGCATACTTGTTTCGAGCATGCTAGTTTTAAGTATGCTTCTGAAAGAGCATGCTCAAAGCAAACACTCCGGTACACAAGACATTTTATACGTGCTTACTGTCAGTTCAAACAAAACCATGGACAATCAAACAGCCATTCGTATGGAGTTGAATAGAATTATTCTTTTGGTAGCGTTGCAATGCGTCCAAAAACTTCTCTCAGATAGAAAGAAAAAAACAAGGAATAGGAAGGTTTGGGTCCGTGATTGGCTAAGTAGAAGAGAAAAACTTGGAGCAAGTACTCGATTGTTAGTCGAAATGCGAGAAGAAGATATTAATGGTTACAAAAATCATTTGCGCATGTTACCGCATCAGTTTGACTGGTTACTATCTAAAATTGAAAGCGCTATAAAGAAACAAGATACACACATGCGAAATGCTATTCCACCAAAAGTGAAATTGGAAGTGACATTGAGATATCTAGCAACTGGAGATTCGTTATACACATTAGAAGCACTTCACCGAGTTGCAAGATCTACGATAGGTCTATTTTTACCTGAAGTGTGCGATGCAATATATAATGCTCTGAAGGATTATATGCGGGTAAGTAAAGTAAACCAGTAATTATTAGTAAGATCAAGTATTTATTGTTTGTTTTAACAAAATTTATATTCTTAGCTTTAACACGTTTTCCATGCTTTGTTCAACAAATCTTCTTCGGAGACGGTAGAATCTGATTGGGATAACGAGTAAGGAAATGTGTAAGTGACTGTGTTTGTGTTTGTACTGGAAGGTATGAAAGTCATTGTTTGTGTATTTGTAGTAGGAGGTGTATAAGTGACTGAGTTTGTGATTGTATTGGAAGGTATGAAAGTTTGTGTATTTGTAGTAGGTGGGGGTATGAAAGTCATTGTTTGTATATTTGTAGCAGGAGGTGTGTAAGTGACAGGTGTAAAGGGAGACAAATTTGTGTACTGGTATCGGCGTCTTGCTGCAGTCAGAATTTTTTGGATCTCATTTTGTACATCTAATGCCTCGTACAATGGTAGGGCTCGCAATTGAGCTGCAACATTTTGAGCAAAATAATGGAATTCATCGTAATTAGACTGTGTATTTATAGCAGAAGAAATATTTTCCAAACGAGCGAGCGCACAGGTAATGGGTTCTTCTTGTAAGCTTCTCTTTCTACGTCGTGTTGACGAGCTGTTATTAGATGAACGGGATTGTGATCGATCTTCTGTAGTTGGAGGAGGGGAGGGTGATAGCAAGTTCACCGACTGCGGTGTCAACGAGTTTGAATATGAAACAGCATCACTTAGTTGTGAATCTTCCGATGACTCTTCTCTGTCCTGTATCTGTAAAAAAAAACTAAGTTTATAAAATATCAACTTCACATATTTATTGTTTTTTGTTTTACAGATTCCCGGTCATGGAGATTGGAAACGCATTGAACACGGATTTAGAACTAAATGGAACTTTCCTGGTTGTGTTGGGGCGATGGACGGTAAACATATAAATATACTCGCTCCTGATGATACTTCTGACTACTATAACTACAAGGGCGCCCATAGCATTATACTTCTGGCATTAGTTGATGATGACTATTGTTTTTCATACGTAAATGTTGGGACTAATGGTAGAGCTTCTGACGGAGGTGTTTATCAAAAATCGAATTTAGCACAAGCTTTGGAAAGTAATACTCTCAATTTACCAGGCCAATCAGTTGTTGTGGCAGACGCTGCTTTCCCTCTAAAGTCATATCTTATGAAACCCTATCGAACAACTCCAACGCTTCAAAAAAAATTTTTAACTACCGTTTATCGAGAGCCAGACGAATCGTTGAAAATGCGTTTGGTATTTTAGTAACAAGATTTCGAGTTCTTATGGATGCCATAGATATGGCCCCCAAAAATGTTGATAGAATTACATTAGCTGCCTGCTCTTTACACAATTGGCTTCGGAAAACATCTGATATGTACATCACACAAAGATGCGTCGACTTTGAAGATATACAACAACGTGTTGTGGTACCAGGATCATGGAGGGCACAACTGCAAAGAACTTTAGAAGGCTTACCACCTACACGCTACAGTAACCACGCTTCTCGACTGGCAGAAGCAATAAGAGACACCTACGCGCAGCTCTTTGAAACTACAGAGGCAGTACCGTGGCAATGTCATATGATATAAATTCACCATCATCATTTCATTGTTCTGCCTATATGATACAAATGAATGAATAGAAAATGCTGTACTTATTCTATGATATTAAATAACTATGTTTTACTAACATTTAAGTGCATTTTTATTTATTAAAAATCGAAACTTACCAATTCCATAGAAATAGGGTCCCTGTACTTGCCAGTGTCTCCAAGAAAAGAATTCATTTCGTGAAACCAGGATGTGGATGGGTTGTACACAGTAACGGTACCAGAACCGGATCGCTTGGAACTCTCAATTTTTTATAATTCGCTGTGGTAAACAGACCTCAAGTTTTTTATTTTTGTTTTTATAATTTTCAAAGTCAAAGCAGGATCGTCCATGTTGGTTAATATATCTTGATATGCATTATTTCTTGCAATATTGTTTTTGTATTCTGGTATGCGTGGATTCCATAGGCATTCATTGTTCCGATATAAAATCACAAATTTCAACGTTTTTTCATCGCCCCAGCGAGACATTTTTAGCGCGAAATTGTGCACGCGCACCTGCCGCTAACGACTGATCGATACTAGCATGCTCAATAAGCAAACCTGTTCACACACGCTATAAGCACGCCCCCTTCCACCCGCGCTGCAGGTAGCATGCCCAATAATCGCACGACCGTCGATTTTTGAGCAAATTCGAAACTAGCATGCTCATTATTAACAATGCCACTAAGTAGCAATTGCTCAAAAGTAGCATGCTTTCGTGCTACTAACTAGCATGTGTAACTGTACCATTACACTACCGAAATTTAACAATAATACCACAATAAGCGGTTATACCCTAGTCGAAATGATTGAGATTATCCAATCTCATTTGAACCCTAATTCTAAATTCTCTCTCTTATCCTCTTTCTATATTCATAAAAAATATAAGTAAGCTTCACTTACCATTATCAATTATACCACTTATCAATTACATAAGATATACAATTGTACAAATGCCATGCCGATTTAGACATCACAAAACTGACTATATTTGCCTAGCGTGAGTCTACTCACGCTAGGCAAAAAATAAATTGAATTGAAAAATATATTGAAAAATAAATTGAATTGAAAATTATGTTACTGAATCTCAAGTAATCTTTCCGGAGTGGTGTTCATTGTTTACATTCGAATCATAGGTTATTTACCTTCAAGGTTGACCTAATCTAGTTGACATCTCTGTACCATCCTCTACTCTTGCGTCAGTAGGAAATCATCCAATCTTGTTCATCCAATGTTTATGGTGCGACCTTTACTTATTTACAACCTTGTACTAATATGTCATGTTCATTGCTCTCTCATTCTGATATGTATTGAAGAGAGACAGATATTACACTTCTGTACGATGGGCAAAGTACACACTGAAGTTGAAGGTTCTAGAGTTCTAGTTAGTTTCCGTTCAACAAAAAGTTTTTAAAGATTGCCATTTTTATGAGATTGTAGAAAAATGGGAAGTCGTGTAGTATCTGTTGAGAGGATTAGACCTCATGTGAATCTGCTCTATTTCTGGTGTTTGATAATATGTCTATCAAACACAGGCAGTATTCCATCTGTTTATTTGTTTGAACACCTATCGTGGTTTGAAATACCTCTGGAGTCAAGAGTATGTAAAAAAGACTGTTTAAAACAAACTGTTTTACATCGGAACGACAATTTAAAATTCCTTCCGTTCACGCAAATATAAAAAACATGAAATGGGTAGCAAAATGTACCTATTTCACAGGGTATCTGTTTTGGGGCGTACTTTTGGAGCTTCCTGGTTCCCCCAAGTTTCCTTCGTTTTCAATGCGAAAGGCAGCAGATTTTGATGGATCATCGTGTTGCTGAACACCCTTCAGTCGCTGAGATGCTCAGTTGCTGAGCCCATGCGTTGTCGAGTCCAGTTTTATTCCAGCCATTCCTGTTTCTAGATTTCGTCTGAGCTTCCATTCAGATAAACAAATAACATTATATGGGATAATGCAGAGCTGAATATAGTAAGTGATCAGGATTTCGGGATTATGAACATAAACTTCATTTATTAATCTGATACAAACGCTTCTTAACTATTGACAGTGACAGACTACTACTTGAGGAAAAATGACAATCCAATAGTTACATCTTGTGCTGCCATCTATATGGAACATAATGAAGTATTACAATTCAACAGATAAATATATGCAACTAACAAAGCATATGAGAGAAAAGGTTGTTGTATAAGTACAGAATTGCTAACATCAACACATTATAATCACTTGAATGTCACCACCACCTTGTAAAGATTATTGAGGTCAGTTTCACCTAGTTTTAAATATGTTCTGAAGTTATTTCATCTTGGTATCATCAAACCGGTTGAAAACTGAACAATTTAAAAAATTATCAGTATCAAAAAAATCATAGGTACTTTGTTATTCATTGTATATACTCCTCTAATTGTATGTCATGTTTTTGGGTTATTATTAAAATTTAATTGGGTATTTTAAAATTTCATTTCATTACTCTCTGTCAATACTCAAGAGGTTTCTGAGTTCCAAAACACCAACAACTTTAGTGGCGCCCCGTGGCAATTGACCACCAAAAAAATAAAAGGTAACGTAGTAATAATAATAAAATCATTTTATCTAGTTTGAATCCAGGACCCAGTGCCGCCAGACGAAGAGCTACCGTTAGCTTGTGCAGTTGTATAAAAAAAATCATACGCTACTTCTGAACAAGTTTTTTTTCAGTTGGGATGAGTCGCAGTGAAAGGCTCAAATTCTTCTGAATATAGATATTTTTTTCAAAACGGTCATCTCGATTTGCATTTCGCTCCTTTCAAAAACTAACAAAATCTCCTAGAAAATATTTACTTGTATAGGTATAATCACTCAAAAAATTGTGCGGGACTTCATTCATGAAGGATCGAATCGATTTCTATTTTTTTCTTAGCAACGAATCTAGATTTCTTATTATTCGGAAGTCCACCTTCATTCCTTTACTTTTTGTCATTAGCCAGTCGACCAATAAGAAGCTACCGCGCCTTTCTTTTATACCTATTCCTCTCTCTTTTATAATCATTCATTCGTCTCATCCTTTTTCCTTCATCCCTAGTACTCTGTGCTCCTCTCCTCCTCCTCTGTGCTCCTCCTCCTTACATTTCTTCGTGTGCTTTCTTAGTTCTGGGTTATTTGAAGTTGATGTTCCTGCAGAGTTCCGCAGTAATCTACAAGCAATTCTTCGAGATTTCGCCAGTATGATTACAAATGGAAATAAAGTAGGAACTGTCAATAATATAAGCCTGAAAATACGCTTGGAGAAAGACATTATTGTCAATCGTACTCCCTATCGCCTGGCTATCAGTGAAAGGGGGACAGTTCAAGAAATAACAGAAGATTTGATGAGTAATAATATCAAGTGAATCACCGTTTGCAAGTCCTGTGCTGCTTGTTAGAAAAAAAGATAGCTCATTTCGAATGTGCATAGACTTTCGCGAACTTAACCGCTTCACAATTAAAGATCGCTTTCCTCTGCCACTCATCGATGTTGGATAGACTGGGCAATGGACGTTATTTTAAATCCTTCGATATGGCTTTCGGTTTCCATCAAATCCCTATCGAGGAAGGATCCATTCATAAGACTGCATTTTGATTCCTAATGTGCGACTCCGAAAGAGGGGTTCGATAATCATCGGCGAGTACTAGAGGCACTTTCTATCGCGGGTTTTTCTTTAAATAATAAGAAATGCCGTTTTCTTCAGTCATCTTCGGAATACCTTGGAAGATAAGTCTCGGGTGAAGCTATATGACCCGGAAAAATGAAAGTTGAGGCACTAGTGATGTCAGCCGTTCCAGATAATGTCAAACAGCAGTGGAACCACAGACAATCGATAACTGTCGATGTCGGATTGAGATATCGAGCAAGACGAAGTCGATTCGATGGATAAGTTTCACCATAGTCACTCGACAAACTATTTCCGATAACACGTCGGCTTTCTTCGTATCATCGACAGAGAATCTAAGACCAAGCTGAAAACATCGAACAAAATCTTATGCATTCTTCTTCTTTTCTATATATAATAACAAATAATATAAGGTATAACCTCAATACAAATAATTTCTAGCTAGTGCTCTTTTAATATTGTGAATGTTAAGAAAGGAATTAGTGAATTAAAATGTTACCGGTTAATATATTATTAGCCAGACAACCCAGAAGGCAGAGGTTGAGAAACTTCAATATTGAGAGAATTCATCTGCGAAATACTTATGATCCATTCAATTTGGATAATTTAGAATTCCAGAGAAGATTTCGCCTCACAAAAGATATATGTAGCCAGCTTATCGACGACCTNCACAGTAATCTACCACTTCCTCATCGTGTTCCAAACGTGGAAGCCCTAATTCAGGAATATTTTCATTTCCAGTTGAAGTCCAACCCACAATTGACATTAATCTCTCTTCCTGTTCAGTCAATTTTAAAGTCGTAGCAGGCCCCCCTCCAGTTTTATTCTGCGAAGATTTAATGCCTGCAATTTTCATTTTTACTTTAGAGCAATCCTGTAGAGCAATCTTCCATTTTTCTGCAGATTTTACCCCTATCCTACAGAATTTAACTGTTGGGTAACTTCTTCCCATAGTTCTCGAGATTTTTGTTTGGCATTCTGACAAACAAATTCACCATTTATCAATTGTGGGTGAATTTCTAAGAAATTTAAAAGCAATTCCCAATGTTTGGGGTGCACCCGCATTCTTTTTAGCTTTTCCGTCATCTGTAAAAGTAATAACTCATTATTCGATAATAATAAAAATAAAATTCCAAATACTCACACTGATATATTCCAAGGGAAAATCTACAGGAATATTGAAATAATTTATTATTCTCTTGTAGATTTGAATATTATGTCAGGTCAAAGATTAGGTACTACAACCTATTATCTTTCCTATTTGTTATATACTATTGTACCCACAAGAAAAGAATTTACCTCTCCTCTCTGCCATCTTTCCTTATATATTTTCTCTTAGTCCCCACACAATATGACAGGTATACCAACCATAAATTGAAGTACAACAATAATTTCGTGTATGTCGGGATAATTTCATGTCTGTCGGGAAAGAACAATTCATCGATTAGTTACGAATCGAAATTATCGTTTCGTTGATTTGAAACGAGAGAGCGTGGTACCAATTTTAATAAATCCGATAAATTTAAGGGGAACGGTTAGAGATGTAGGGGGGGTACTGTCGTGTCGATTCATTATGGTTCCACTCCAGGTCCGTCAATTCATTTGCTTGGCAGGATACTTCAGGAAGTTTGTTTCCCAATTTGCTGGCAAAACAGCATATATTACTCGTTTAACGAAACAAAGTGTACCTTTTCAATGAGAACAGGATAAGGAGAAGGCACGCAAATATGTCATAGATTAAACAGAACTGCATAACGATGCAAGTAGTCTTGGATATGGTGCCATACTCATTGAAAAACACGAAAACCAGCCGAAAGTTGTTGCATATTTCAGCAGAAAGACAACAGAAAGTGAGGCCAAATATCATTCATACGAATTGGAAACTTTGGCGATAGTACAAGCCTTCAAACACTTCCGTACTGACCTACTTGGCATAAAATTCACTGTGATCACCGATTGCAACTCTATTAAAGCTACAGCTACAAAAAAAGATTGGTGCCCCGAGTAACCTGTAGACTTTCTAAGCAGGAATCCCCCCAATGTGATTTTCCGAGTTTCACATAATAACTGGGCATATACTGAACAAAAAGGGAATTAAGAGATTCAGAGTTTATAACAAAAACTGAGGGCAACCTCGATACCAATCAATATGTTGAAAAGGACGAAATGATATATCACTAACATAAAAATGAAGATTGAAGAGTTAATTTGCAAGGGTTCGTTCCCAGACAATGTCGTTTGGGCCTCCTTCGCATATTCCAATGAACAATATCATGTTGGATACGGTAAAACATAGGAGTCTATTGCTGAATATTTTTGGTTTCCACGAATGGGGTAATTCGTCAAATGTTACATCACACATTGAGATGTTTATGAAAAAGACAAGGGCTGGATCTTTACAGGGATTTGTGCATCCGGTCGAAATTCCCAAAGAACCATTTCACACGTTGTACTTGGACTGCTTGGGTCCATTACCGGTGTCAACTGAGGGCTTCAAGCATATTTTGGTAGATGCGTTCACCAAGTATTGCATCCTCATGCCCATGAAAACCGTAACTACTGCTGGGTCTCGTGAAAAGCTACATGTTTTATCGTTATTTGGGTTACCTAAACGAATAGTGATGGATGCTGGTACTTCTTTCAAGAATACAACTTTTCCGAAATATCTAGATCATTGGAACATCGAGTATCATTTTGTCACTTCAGATGTACACAGAGGAAACGAACATGTTGAACGGTACATACGAACTGTTAGAAAGTTGTTGAGGATTGAAACCAAAGTGAAATCAGAAACGCCGAGTAGATTATGAAAAATTCAACTTGTTCTTAACTCGACTATTCAGAAGTCAACAAATTCAAGTCCGCTTCTTCTGGGAATAGAGGGTTCAACTCCACTAATACAAGCTTTGTTGAGAAAAGTGTCTAGGGATCTAACTCTGATACCCAACCGTTCTTTGGGCCAACAACGAGTGGCCGAAAAACTGTCCATAGTACGGTACCTTGATGATGTTAACAAAAAAAGAAGGAACAACGTGAATTACTCAGCAGGGTATTTTGTACTAATGCATCGCGACTCCCAAATGCACATCAATAAGAGCGACTACGAGTTCCTTAGACTATATGAGGTAGTGCAGAGTTTGCCAAATGGTCGGTACGAAATCAGGAAAGTTGGCACTAATAAAATCACCAAAGCAGCAAAGGAACAACTCAGACCATGGCCTACATAGTGGTCTTTGAGCGTTGACCTGAAGGAGATTTTAGAGTTTTTGGAGTCAGATAGTGGCTTAGAGGCAAATGATGGTGATTGAACTTTATCACTATCCCACAATGGTAGTATAAAGAAAGATGAATCTTCTGTTTCTGCTTTGTTTTCGGTCTCTACTCCGTCAGTGATAGAGCCGGGTAAAGACTGAGGTTTTCACATGTTTTAAATGAAATTGTTCTCGGTCTCTACTCCGTCAGTGATACAGTGATGCAATGAGAAATGGAGCCGTAGAAGGATTAGTGTATGACAACAAAGCCATTATCAGCAAATACAATTGTGCATTGTGATGTGAGGGTAAACAGAGTTGACTACCATTTTCACAGAGCAGTCACAGAAGTGGAAGGATACTTGAGATTGTGCAGGCAGACGTGTGTGACCCGATGAAGATTAATTCAATCGGTTCATCCGCATATTTCTTGCTATTCGTAGACGACTATAGCAGAATACGTTTATCCAATTTTTGAAAAATCTCATATTTATAATTATACCCACTGAAACAAATGAAACATCAAAAATCATAAAGGAATACTAAAAAATCAATTTTGAAAAAAAGGCTTTTGAATGAATACTCTCCTGGAGCCGAAATGAAATATAAAGAATATAGAAAGAATCTAAATAACTTGATAAGAAAAACGAAACATCAATACTACAAGAGACTAGGAAAATAATTAATGATATTTCGAATACCACATTTCACAAAAACAATGTGGAAAATACAACCATCACCAAGGAAAATGGTGATTGTATAACAAATAACGAAGAAAAAGCTAATATATTTAACAAATTTTTCACTAACATAGGAATAGAAATGGCTTGCAATATTGAAAAAATTGATTTACCAAATATCAAGATTCAAGACTAACTCCTATGTATAAAAGTAGCAAAACATAATATCATTAGTAATTATCGACCAATTTCGGTGATTAATAATTTCGCAAAATTATTCGAGCTGTCAGTAAAAAAAAGATTTGTGGGGTCCTTCAATAAACATCACGTGATAACTAAAGAGCAATTTAGATTTATAAATAACAAAAGTACTGAAAATGCCATACTAGATTTTGTTGAACAAACAGTGGAAGCCTTGGAAACGTCGTCGAAATGTCTAGCGGTTTTTATTGACCTTGCAAAAGCATTCGACACTGTCACTTGACATACTACTGAGAAAACTCTTTGGATATGGTATACGGGGAAATGCTTTACAGTTCGGAAATGAAATCAGTAAACAGTTGAATATATCTGAGTGCCTCAGGGAATAGTTTTGGGACCAATTCTGTTCGTTGCTTACATAAACAGTGTTACACAGGTCAGATATTATCAGGGGCACATAGTTTGCTATGCTGATGACACAGCCTTAATATTAAAAGGTGAAACGTGGCATGATGTTTTACATACTGCAGAAATAGAACTGCAAAAAGTACTGTTGTGGGTAAATGATAGTTCACTTAGTTTGAATGTCAAAAAAACTAAATTCATGACTTTCTCACTGAATTCGAGTACTCAGCCAAGCAATATCGAATTGTATCTACATAAACCCATCTGCGCAAACCGGTTATTCTGTAATTATCTCACTATTGAGAAAGCATCATCCATAAAATATTTGGGTGTAGTTATTGACCATTATTTGAGATGGGATGAACAAGAGTCACATGTCATTAAAAGAATGAGACTTCTCATGCATACATTTTACAACCTAAGAGACATGCTCTCAAGAAAAAACTTGCTAACAGTATAAAACTCTCTGGCATAATCCATAATACGATATTGTAGGAATAACGTGTTAGAAATCACATGTTAAAAGGCAAGACCTCGTTAGTCCTTAGCTCGCACAAGTTTCTCAACTTCTGAAACCTGAGAATCAACATTGAGTGATATTTATATATCGTTGAATTCAGCGTGAAAAATAATTTCGAAGAGTGTCTTAAAATATGCAGGTCGGTATTGAAGAAAATGAGGTTGAGGGTGCCCCAGAGACTACGAAATGTTGGATTCGAAATCTGATTATGTCAAATTGAAAAGAATTCACTATCGAATGAAAAATTTCTGTGAAATTCCTTGATGAATTTTGAAATAACGTGGAAAAAAAATAAGAATCTAAATGACAAAATTTACTTTTTTTATGATATCTCTATAACCGTCCCTGATATTCTCGATATAAACAGTTGGCACTGATCGAATGCTGGAATATTTGCAATTATTCTCAATGCTTTTTTTGTAATCAAAAAACACATATTGCAGAACTGAAATTACTCTATGAAATGATGCCAAAAGAAACCCTACTATGAATCAGAGAATAGTGAATGTTAAGTAGAACATCTTCATTACAAATCCGTTTCATCTGCCTCAGAAGGAATATATGGAACGATAATCTTTATACACAGATTCTCGTTATGACTGA